TAAGATATGAAAATAGATTTTGAGATAGTCCTAATAATTTTGTACACCAAAATTACATGTTATTTTAAAATTTGTAGGTGTGCCGTAATTAGGTTGTTTAAGGTTGCAACCTTATAGAAACCATACCCTTTAAAAAAACAATTTACCAAGATTAAATAGAGACCATACAATTTTTTAAGGGCGAGACCGAAGTGTCAAGAAATAAAAATTTAAATTTGTTTTGGAAAACGTTTATACAGAAGTTTATATATAGTTAAGGCTCATATCCTATATTTTTTTTGTAGGATCATAACGTACGCCTACTCCCTCAATCAAAAGACCTAAATGGGAGATTTTTTTAAGTGGAATCACCTAAAATCACCATATGATTATTTTGAAAAGAAAAAAGGTGTTGTTTGTATATAAAACAATCAAATTAGAGCCCACCTCAAAAATTTAATTAGAAGAGGTTATTTTGATACTCAAATTTCTTCAAATCGATCATCTCGACATCAAGATGCATAAACATTAGAAAAAAATAGATTTCTAAGTTTTAGAAATAGTGCGTCTTATAACGCATTTTTGGACTTTCAATTTCAAGATTTTCAAATTTCTATAAATCTGCTCGACGTACTCTATTTTTTGAGCTTTAAATTTTATAATTAAAGATAAAATTATATTTTAAGGTATCACAATATTTCCTATATTAAAACCACATTTCTTGGTACTATTTAAAAGTGCGCTCTAACTTGATTATTTACCACCCGATAATCCAATATGCACTACATTCTATATACCATATATAGATATGGCCCCATAACCAATATGCAAAACATTCCATACCATATATGGATTTTATTTCAACTTAAGTTAGCACTACATTCCATACTATATATAAATTTTATACTTTAAACATTGAAGATACTTTCATTTTTCTCCACGCAATGTTTAACTAATGGATATGGGATGTTTAATTCTGGCCTGTAAGGGCACATCATCTTATGTTTTTCACCATTTAGGTGGATTACTTTGGAAGCATATATAGAATAAATAATTGTTCATCATCAAATTCAATAAAAATATGGCTCCAAGTTAAATTAACTCTCACCAATAAAAATACAGCTGTCGAGGCTCTAACTTCCAAGCGACGTGATAGGGCACCATCCAGTTCAATCATCAACATGGATTACTTCCATTCAGACACCAAGACAACGAAAGTTTAACTCAGGCAATTCTGTCTTATTGGACGAATGATGAAAAATGAATTCAATTCTTTCCTCGCTATTTCTCCATGGTCTTAATTCACAGTTTTGTTTGAACTTTGGATCCAAAGTTCATCGAGTAGTCATAATTATTCGATAGTGTTTTATTTTTTAGTTTTTTTATAAATTAGAATAATTTGAAATTTGAAGCTTGTATTCATAAAAAATAAACAGGTTTACAAAAAATATCAAAAAAACATTTTACATGAAATAAATTGATCAAAATACCCTCGAAAGGTTTCAAGGGTACTTTGATCAATTTTTGTTTTGCGAATTATTTTTTTATATTTTTATTAGTTAAGTCTAACTAAGATGTACATACACTCCAAAATTCTCACCGTCCAAACTTCATCGCACGATTATATATATATATATATATATATATATATAAAGT